GGGAGGGGAAGAGAGAGAGAATCCCAAGCAGGCTCTATGCTGGGTCCAACGCTGGGCTTGAACTCATGAACCATGAGATCATGACCTGAGCCGAAATCAAGATTCAGACACTTAACTGACTGAGCCACCCAGGCACCCCTAGAGAATCTTAAGCAGGCTCCATGCCCAGGACAGAGCTGGACACAGCGCTTGATCTCATGACCATGAGATCATGACCTGGGCCAAAAGTCCAGAGTTAGACATTCAACCGATTCAGCTACCTAGGCATCCCCATCCCTAAGTGATTCTTCTGAGAAGCATCTCACCGTTGGTAGTAGGTAGTTGAACCCTTTCCTCCTATCATTCCATTGTACTTAGTCCTTATTAGCAATATATTATTTTACATTTCCTTTGTTCAAGTGTCTGTCACCTACTAAACTGCAAATTCCTTTAAGGACTTTTTTCTCAATTATTTGTGCATCTCAAATACATGTCACGTGTGGCACATGACAGGTATGCCCTAAGTGTTGGCTGAGTGAATCTAGTCAGTTACTAAGGCCTGTCAACTTTATTCCCTGTCTCTTGTCCTCTTTCCTGCTCTTTCAAGCTCTCATCCTATTGCATGATTTACTGCAAAGCTTATTTGGTATTGTCACCAATTTTTCACTGTCTTTCCATTGCCACCAGAATCATGAGTTGGAGGTTACTCCTCGTCAAAAACTTACCTGAAAAATTAAAGACCAAATTCCCTGCCATGTATTCAAAGCCCCCCAAGAATTGGCCCCAAGTTATTTCTAGTCTTATCTTCCACCATTTCCTTCAACAAACTCTATGCTCCAGATTGCACTGGTGTCTTCCTTCTTTAATATATCCTTCACCATAACTTGTTTTTATTCACACTATGGTCTCAACCTAAAAGCAGAGGTTGCAAACTGGTGGACCCTGTTTTTTTTGGCCCACAAAAAAAAATTTTTTTTAATTAAGCCAACGTTGAAAACTTGTGGCATTTAGAATAAACATTAGGATGTCCAATGGTTCTTGAGAAGCAATAAGATTTGACAATATGGGGCCCCTGTTGCTGTATGGCAGCAACCCACCTGAACTGCACTGCCAGCTGCCCCCTTCTCAGGGCACCTGAGCAGCTTCTAAAAAAACCTCTCAACCATAGAAGTATACCATGAAGAGATCAGACTAATGGTGGGACAATTGGGCCTATCACCTGATGTTACACAACATAGAACAGCTCTCCTGTGATGTCTTCTATCCTCAGAACTGCTTAACTTGAATCTCTCAGGCTCTGGATCAAATTCTGTTTAGCAAAAATAGGGTAGAGGAAGTTAAAGGGCACCGCGCAGAAGCAATCAATCAAATCCAAAAAGACCACTCTCCAGGACAACTGGCCCAATCTCTTCAACAAATCAGTGTTACAAAAAAGATTGTTGCAGGAGTGCAAAAGATAGTTAATACATGGTTCCTGGATTGGATCCAGGGCTGGACAAAAATTAGCTCTAAAAGTACTTTCTTAAACCAGTTAGGGAAGTGTGAATATAGATTGTTAATTTTAAGCATGTTATGTTGGCAATGTAGGAAAATGTTCCGATTCTTCAAATTAACACACTGAAGTAAAGAATCAAAACCAACCCTCTGTATTTCCCCACCTGTTCTCCTGACTTTAAAAGTCTACAATGGGCTGACAAACTTTCTATAGGGCCAAGTAGCAAATATTTTAGGTTTTGTGGGTCATAGTGTTGTGGCAACTACTCAGTTCTGCTGTTATAATCTAAAAGCAGCCACAGACAATACATAAACAAATGGGCATGGCTGGGTTCCAGTAAAACATTTTTACAGAATCAGGCAGCGGGATGCAATCTTTAGTTTGCCAACCTCTGATCTAGAATAAATACCACTTCTCCTAAACAAGTATTTCCTGGTACCCATCAGAATCGGTGCCTTTATCTTCCCTCTGCTCACATATTGCTTGTAGCTCTACTTACCACATTTATTATTCCTATATACTTATCTCCATTATGGAATACATCCTTTGAAAGTAGGTGCCATTGCGCTACATGACACCCATCCCCACCTGAGTTCCTTGCAGAATATTCAATGAATATTGTTTCCAAAAACCGAAATACCCTAAAAGATTGATTTGGCACCATTTGTGACATTCACAAGAATGAGCAACAGGTTCTGAAAGTAATTTTGAATAAGCTTCAGGGGAAAAATAAAGTATATAATAAAAAATAAAATTATATATATATATAGTGTATGTATGTATGTATGTGTTCACCAGTGTTTTATAATCAGACCTTGTGCACATGAAAGCGTAGCAGATTCAGAGCACAGGAATGTCCTTATGCCCTTGTTTTTTAACCACACTAGAGTATCGAGGGTATTAATGGATTTACAAGAAGTGCATCATAAATGCTCAACAAATTGCAAATATACTACTGGGGGAAAAAGATTTTCTTTTTCTCATGGCAGGGAGAGAAGGTGGCAGCAGATGCCTGTGAAAGGGTTTATCAAGATTTGACAACCACACCAGGTTCCATCATTCCAGGTTCCTTTCCTTACATTTACTTCCCTGGCTAGGAGACACTGGGTAGTGGAGGCATCCCTGACTGCGATGGAATCCCAGATTCCAAAGCAAAGGTGCTTGTGGGACAATGGAGAAAGGTACATGCATCTCTTCTGTTGAAATTGTCCTAAAACCCCAGGAACACTTAGGAAGACATGGAATTTGGGCAAAGGCAAACCCTGGAAAAAAAAAACACAGTTCAGGTCACTGGAGAGAACATGTTGGCTTCTACAGAACAGGAGACAGGAGGGAAAGTGGGAGGAGAGCACACAGAGCAAAGTGAGGTGCACACTCCCAGACAGACATCCTCCTAAAACAGAGGTTAGTTCTACGACAAACGTAGGTTATAAAGCAAGAAATAGGGGAATCAAGGTGAGAGAAAAGGGCAAAGCAGAGGAGAAAGCATCACAAGAAGGGGAGTGATGTTGAATTAAGAATTGAGAGTTGAGTAAAAGGTTTATTATTAGTGCAGTCAACACCATGGAACAGCACATATAACACAACCAGCAACCCGCAGAGACACTAGTGCAAAGGGGAGGGAAGCCTTAACTGAGCTTCCTGGCTCTGTCTGAAGGTGATGACAGGAGAGTATGGGCCTCAGTAAGGCAGGCAGGGTCAGAGGGGAGTGGAAGAAATGTAGTAACCAGACTAAGTATAGCAGCGTTTTCAAATTCCTGAGCACAATGTCCTGGAGCTGGAACACAGGACTGTTCCCTACTCCCTTCAAGCTGTATCCCTCCAACCCATTCCCAGTGGAGCCATGACCCAACTCCCCAGACCTATAGCAGGCAAGCTGGCCTGGAATAAAACTCCAAAGAGAGAAGAAACTGTTATATGGCCATATGTCTTCAACCCCACTCCCACTGGTATATTAGAATAATCACACCCTCTATCCCTCCCCTTCTCTAGCTCTACTAGCCACCCTAGCTAGGGATCAAGGAATGCCCGGGTAGCCTAAAATGGAGCTGAAGTTCTCAGAGGGCATGAGTAAGACAAAGCACAGCCTGTACTCAGAGACACAGAGATATCATGTCTCTCCCATCTTGCCTGGTGAAGCTTAGAATCCAACTATGTATCTCCAAGGAAACTGGGGGTTAGGGGGATGGCAATGTCTTCAAAATTAATACAGAGTTTTACAAGGAGACCCCTGGAAGGACTGGAGCAAAGTTCAGAGGGCACAGGCATTGATGTTGGACTGTCACATCCATCACTGGAATAACAAAAGAAGCGTCTCATCTCAGATGGGGTTATGGAGGGTTGGGGCAGACGTAAGTTCAGCCAAGGACTCCCTTGGGCCCTTCTTATATTAAAGCCAAAGATTGTGCTGAAAAGGAAAAATATAAAACAGATCCCATCCCTGTCCCATCCCACCCTATCCAGAACCCCCACAATAGGAATATCAAAAGAAAGTTTTAAGCTTTGTTAATTTTTTTTTCTTTTTCCTTTCTTAAAAAAAAAAAAAAAAAAAAAAAAAAAAAAAAAAAAAAAAAAGTAAATAAATTAGATTGCCAACAATGTGGCTGGACTGGAAAAGTAGGGTAGCCATAACCAGGCCATTCTAAAAAAAAAAAAAAAGGAGGGGGGAAGAGAAGGAAATACAAACAATGGCCAAAGGAAATTATCAAAATAACTAGTTACAATCACAGGGCTGGAGAGGGGTCTATGGAACTATTACGGCCCATGCCAGAGGCAGTGCCTACCTGATTTCAGCAAAAGCCAGAGAGCTGCTTCTTGCTGAACACATCCACCTCAAAAGACTAATCCCCTACTCCCAACCCTGTCATTCCCTAATTATGAGAAAATGTAGGAAAGAAGAGCTCATCTGGAAATTTTCGGCATCTTAACCTGCACACCTGCAGAACCAGCAGGAGCCTGCACCTGTAAGGTGGGCTGGACAGAGTATTGCTTGGCACAGAGGTCCAGTCTTTCCCTAAGGGCCAGTTACTGGCCTCATTATTTCTAGGGTTTTGATTCCACCCTTACCATTTCTTCAGGATGTCTGCTCCCCAGAGCTGCCCTCTAAGTGCTGTTTAGTGTCAACAGGCCTGCCTGCTCTGATTCCCTGGTTTTGGAGGAGGGGGAACGATTAGATATTCCTCACTCCACCCTGATCCTCTAGAGAAAATTCTTTGTGCTTTCTAAAAATATCTAGAACCAGGGACCCTAGGCAGGAAAACAGATATAGAGGTGAGGACTTTTCCAAACTGACTGAAAATTTACAGACATCTTAGGGGAAGAAATTACGTAAAAGGAAGGAATCTGTGTTTCCCACCTGAAAGGCTGAGCAAAGTGCCCCGGGGCCCTTCAGTGCCAGAAGAGCAGGGAAACATGTGGCCCGTGTGTAAGCCATGGTACTATGGGTAGTAGGGAGGACTCAGGGACCAGCTGCTGGAGCGATGGGCTTTCTGACTGCCATCTCTTCCTGCTAGCCCGTCGAGATCTCCTATATCTCTTCCACACCATGCGCAAATATCATGACAAGCCCCGGCTCCTGCACCATGTCGTCACCCATATGCTGGTTCTCACAGGCCATCACGACAACAGCCTGCTTGCCAGGGATGCGCTTGGCCACGTAGTTCTCATAGTAGCGCCGGTTCATCTGTCTTGTCTCTAGTGTGGCCAGACCCTGGGGCCAGCTACGCTCGTGGGCATTTTCGATCAGCTCGTTGACGATAGAGGCAGGACAGCCACTCTCCACCAGGGAGCGCTTGATTACAGCCTGGAGTACAGCATCTGGGGTCGAGATCATCCCTCCCCAGCGGGTCACTCTTGCTGGCTGCAGGGAGTTCACCCACCTGTGTGGAGGGGGTTGAAGGTGGTCATTCCAGCTCATCCCCCTTTTCTTCATTGGCTTTTTCTCCTAATAGGAATGACCACCCACTCGGTGCTCAGCTTAACCCTAATCTCCCATCTTCCTTTTTCCATCACTAGTTCAGAAACTCTAAATCCTTCCCTAGTTGGTCCCATGTGAGTCACCACATGTCACTCACCAGATGAAACTCAAAAGTGCAGAGTTTCTGTCATTTTTCTTAAAAATCCCAATACTAAACACACACAGTGCCTAGCACGTACTAAGTGCTCAACAAATGTTTACCGAATGAAGTGATTATTCCTCTATCCTGTGTCCCATGCAGCACTGTTTACTCTCTATATATTGATTCACACTTAAGAGTTTAGTCTATGAATTGCATGGGACTCCAGCACTGAAAGGGATTCTAGACTTTGCTTGTTTATGCTGCATTTTAGATCCTTCCCCTGGATTTGCACTGACTGTCTTCTCTGGATTGTAAGCTACCTGACAACAGGGACAATGTCTATTTCTTTTTGGCCCTCCTAGCACTCCACAGCCTTTAATACAGGGCTCTGTACATGTGGGTACTCACCTAAGTCTCAATGAACTGAATACTTGGGTAAGCTTTCCCTTCCATCCACCCAATAGGAGATCCTATAGTGGGGCTGGAAGTTATCCTCTTCTCCTTGGTCCCTATCCTTCATCCCAACATCTGAAAAGCAGTGGCCCCAGCCCAGCCCTTTTATTACCCGCCCTTCTGCCATCCCTTGCACTTCCTCCTTTCAGGGCTAGGTGCCAGGATGTGGAGCAAGTGACTCCATGTCCTGAGTGACACTCACTCTAGGATCTCGTTGTATTCAATTGTTTCCTCCAGGTTCTGAAGGTTGGGGTTGACACTGCGAATTGCACGCATGTATGCCTTTAGCAGCTGGATATCTCGCTTCTGTTGGAGGGAAGGAGAACGAGGGATGATGGTTAGAGCAGACAACAGATGAAAGACAGAAGATAGTCTGAGAATGAGGGCAACTGAGAGATCTGAGGAAAAACCAGACCTATACACTTCAGGAAGACAGGGATATGACTATCTCATTCACAGTTGTATCCGTAGTGCTTAGCCGAGTACCTTCTTAGAGAAGGCATTTGATGAATGTTAGGTGAATGAATGACATTGATGGGATGAAAGAAAGGGAGACGAGCTCCAATCTGATTCCCTACCAAGCCAGAGGCAGAGTATCCACTCACCCAGGCACACAAGCACAGGCACCGAGCTGCATGCTCACACTGGTGCTTCTCACCCATGGCTCTCTGCACATATACACAGACACACGCATGCAGTTATACATAGTCACACATCTGTTATATACACATGTCTGCATATTAAGGACAGGTTCTCCCCTATGTTCTCTGGGCCTTACCTGTTCCGCCAGCTGGTGTTTGTGCTCCGCTGAGGTCTTCTCCAGCTCTGCGATGCGTGTCTGTTGCTGCTGTACCACTGAGCGCAGGTGCTTAATGCAGTTGTGGTTTGGCAGCTCATCTTTGGGCATCTCCAGGCTGCCACCCAGGGTGGGAAACAAACAGAACAGAAACGCTCAATGGGACATGTGGGCAAAGGCACAAAACTGCTGAGTGGGCTTTCTTCTACCCCAGATTTCTAACATTCAGGCCTTCCCTCTTATTTATTCCCTTCACTTCCTTCTCCACAGCTCCCCCCACATCCTTTTGCTATCTACTTTCTCTGGGCCTCTTTCCCTTTCTAAGACAGTGTTTTATCTACCACATGGCTCTCCTTTCCTTCTCACTCATTCCTTCTGAGAAGCCCTAGATTCATAGCCCTGGCTATCAGCATGTAATCAACTATTTCACACCCCAAAGAAAGAAAGGAACAGGGCAAGAGGAAATATGAGAAGGCTAGAAATTAGAGCAGTCAATCTGACAAAGAGAAAGTAGTACTGGGCTGAAAAGGAAGAATAAAGGAAATCAATCCTTAGTGTTAGCACACAGATTGGGAACTGCTGCCTCGTTTCTTTTATTAAAGCAAGAGCAAAAAGATCATAGTTGAAAAAGCAGCACGAAGTGAGATCTTGGGGTAGAGAGCCAGGGAGGCCAAGGACACTCCTTGTGTACGTGCACAGGAAACTGCCTTAGCTGGTGAGCAAGGGATCTGGGAAAAAGGGGTGGGGGGAGAGGGGGAGTTATAAATGGGAAGGTCCTTATCTGTATGGGGCAGGGGAAGGGAAGTAATCTCACCCGCAGCCCTGTTCACAGGTCACAGGCCGTTTGGGGTTGTGCTCACAGTCGCTGAGGTGAGACATGAGGTTGTCAAGCCGGACAACAGCACTACAGCCAAATACAGCGTTGTCGCAGGCAATCTGCAGCTTTGACAACATGTTCCGCATGATCCGAGGTACTGGGCGCAGGTGGGCGACCGTCACAACGCTACGGTCCACCGGACATGTCTGCTGCTGAGAAAACCACTGGGTGATGCAGGCATTGCAGAAAGCATGCTCACAATGAGGTGCCTAGAAGGGAGAGCAGGGCAAAAGGGGCACAAGAGAATTAGCAGGAGCTAAGAGCCTGAATATGATAACTCCGCAAAGCTACTCAAGCCTCTGAGCAGCTTCCAGGGCCAGAGGTCCCTGGGGGTCACAGGGAAGGACAGATGCACTATGGGCAAGACATTGTGTAGGGACAGGCTTCAGATAGGTTTCCTGTGCTCAAGATTCCAAACGAATTGTGACATAAGACAAACAAGTAAAAAGTTATGTAACAATAAGAGGTATAAATAACATTCCAGGACAATAGGAGAGATGACACAAGGCAGTCGATTATTAATTGCCAACTGGATTGCATACACAATAACTGCCAAAGAAATCCAAAGGAGGGTGAGATCTTTCTAGGCTAGGTCAATCAGGGCACGTATTTATTATGGAGGACATAATTTGACATGGGTCTTGAAGGATGAGTAGAGAGGACATAGGGAAGAGATTTACTGGCAAAAATGCAATATAAGAAAGCAAAACAAAACAAGCACCTTGAACTCCTGGTGAGAAGTTAAGAGTCCTCTCTGTGTGGGCCCAGGTTCCTATTTTATGAGGGCTGACCTGAGGCATTGCCTTGAATCCCAATGGTGAGGCCTATCCTCCCAAACAGAGCCATTTTCTCATAGAGTCACATTCTTTTCAATTTCATAAAGATCGTATTTCAGCTTACTTTGATAAATCAGATAACCTCTAAAGTTTAATCCCTCAAAGTGAGAGGATTCCCTGGCCTCTGGCATGGGACAAACACAGTAGGCATTTAGTAGTTGTTGATGAACGAATGGTGTGCTATTTCCCAAACACTCTGCTAGGTGCTTACAATACAAGACAGGTTCTGCCTCCAAGGTGCACACAGGCACCAAAGACCAAAACAAAGAAAGGCTTCGTAACGGAAAGAGTCATTCACAATGTCACTAATGCAACTATCAATAGATTTTTATTTTTCACTCAAAGATATATTTGATTCTTTCCAAAATCTTTACAGATCCTATCTCCAAAAAACAATCCTAAATTTGTCCACTTTTCCCCATCTGTCCTGCCACTAACCCAGTTCAAACTATCATCTCTCACCTATATTATTAAATATGTCTTCTAACTGGTCTCCCTACTTCTACCTCACCCCTTTATAATTCATTCTACATTCGTCAGCCACAGTGATCACTTAAAAATGCAAACTAAATCATATCACTCCTGCTTAAAAGTTTACAGTGGCTTCCCTTTGTACTTAAAATAAGTCCAAACTCCTACTCAGGACGTATACAATTCTGCTTGATCTGGCCCTGTGCCTCTGACCTCTCTTCACCACACACCATGCTCCCAGTGCTGTGTTCAGGCCAGTCTGACCTCCTTTCTGTTTTTGTCTATACCCAGCTCACTCCTGCCTCAGCATCTCCGGTTTTGCAGCTTCTCTTTGCCCGAAATGCTCTTCCTCTAAATCCTATCATGAACATCCCCTTATCATTCAGATTTCAGCCCGACTGTCACCTCTTTCGTGACCATTCTATCCAATCCTGCCACCCCTGCAGAAATATACAGAATGTGCTATGCTCCACGTAAGAAAGTTGGGCGAATGAACTAATAATAAAAAGAGTTAACTATGGGGACATTATATGGGCTGGGACAAGGATGGAGTAAGAGTTCTCACGGTATGCCTCTTTCTACTCTTTTGGTTTCTGAACCGTATGAACTTATCACCTATTCAAAAATTAAATAAATATGATGTAGGGATATCAGCATTCCTAGCAGATGCCTTCTACCCTTGGATATGTGTCTGGTAACCTGGCATCCTGAGGTCTTCCTGGCCTACTCCCAAAAGGTGGAGGTGGGGGGGCAACTCCTGACTTACAGTTATGAACCAACACTGACTTCTCCACACGTGACTCACCTCAAATGATAGTGCCAGAAAACAGACAAGGCCCTGCCAGGGGAAGGGAAGGAACTGACACACCCCATGACCTCTCGACACCACCAATAGCTTGCTCCACACCCAGCCAATAGTTCTACTGGCAGTAGGCTGCAAAGGCCCAGACAGGGTATAGGTCCAGGGCTAGCTGCCATTGGAATGCAGTCGGATTTTCAGTCAGCTCAGGCACCTTTCAGTCAGCTCAGTGCTCCTTTGACTGGTTGAACACTGGAATAAGAATATACTCAAAGGATCAAGAGGAGCCCCCAGGAGCTGTATAAGCAATGAGTTGGGGAAGGGCCGTGAGACCTCACTGACTCGTGTCCTGGTTTGGAAAATGGGATTATGTCTAGCCAGCCAGGACTGCCAGAGGGTTCATTGGTATTTACAGAGGGCAGGCAATAAGGACCATGCAGGATGATGTCCCATGAATGCTACTGTGAAGACTTCATCTCACTTATTATACTTGCCTGTTAATCATGAGTTTCTCCCCATTAATTTTTAACAACTAAAAAATAAAAAAATTGTCTTTTCCATGGGGCACCTGCATGGCTCAGTCAGTTAAGCGTCTGACTTCACCTCAGGTCATGATCTCAGGGTTCGTGAGTTCCAGTCCTGCATCAGGATCTGTGCTGATAGCTCGGTGCCTGGAGTCTGCTTGGGATTCTGTGTCTCCTCTCTACTCTCTCCCTGCTCACACTTTGTGTGTGTGTGTCTCTCTCTCAAAAATGAATAAACATTAAAAAAAAAAAAAAAATTAAGGGGCACCTGGGTGGCTCAGTCCATTAAGTGACTGACTGCGGTTCAGGTCATGATCTCGCAGTTTGTGAGTTTGAGCACCGCGTCGAACTCTGTGCTGACAGCTGGGAGCCTGAAGTCTCCCTTTATCTCTGCCCCTTCCCCGCTTGCACTTTCTCTCTCTCTCAAAAATAAATAAACATTTAAAAAAAATTTTTTAAGTTGTTTTTTAATTGGTTTTTCCAGCAAGTCCCAAGAAGGAAATAGGACAGTACATACAGTTCCCTACTCCCTCTTTGTTAGAGAGTAGGGCAGGATGAAAAGGCTTGCAGGCAGACTAGCTGATTAACTGAAACACTACATCATCAAAATACAGAGAAAACTTAGGAGAGTCCAGAAGTTCAAACATGGTAGGAACACGGAACCTAGTCAGAGCCCCTACAAAGGGAAGTTCCTGAGCTACTGTCAGAAGACAGAAAACAGGTGACCATTTTATAGCAGAATAAATCTCAGAGTGACCTCAGAAGAAAATCTGAAGCGCTGGACTTCTGTGGCATCTACCTCTAGACAGACTCTGAAAGGCCCTATTCCTTTTGTAGCTGCCACTGCTCCTCTGCACCAAACCTCTATTCTGTATGTGTGTGTTGCCAAGGGGGTGGGGGAGGGGGAATTGGGGGAGGGAGGCCAGAACACAGTGACTTCCCACTGGTCCCATTACTTATGAACATTTTTATTAGCTCTACTATCATCTAGTGCCCCACCAAACCTGCCACCAGACCGACTCACCTGGACTGGCTCCTCCAAGACACCACTGCAAATAGGACAGATAAGGTCTTCGTCAACATCCCCCTGGAAACGGGTTACATCATACCCCATGTCTCATCACTGAAACCCAGGTCCTGGAAGGAGCAAGAGGAGAAAGAGGCCAGTTCAGAAGGAGCCTACAAATAATGTGCCAACCTGGAACTCATGGCCAAGATCCATTCATTTGTCCAACAATTATTCATTGAAAGCCTACTATGTGCCAGTCATTTGGGAGAAAGAAATCTGACTCAAGAAACTTAATTCTAATGGTAGAAGATATTATATAACCATACACTTAAAATATGAAGTGACAGGGGTGCCTGGGTGGCTCAGTCAATTAAGTGTCCAACTCTTGGTTTCGGCTCAGGTCATGATATCACGGTCTGTGAGTTTGAGCCCCATGCTGAGCTCTGTGCTGACAGTGTGGAGCCTGCTTAGAATCCTCTCTTTCCCTCTCTCAAAATAAACAAACTTTAAAAATTAAAAAAAAAAAAAAAGTGATAAATGTTTGACAGGGCATTATGAGGGCAAGAGATGTGGATACCTAACCCAGGCTAAAAGGAGAGGGTAGTTTTGAGTTTTACAGGAGTAGGTGTCACCAACAGGACAAACAAGAGTAGCTAGGTATTGGGGATGGGGGCAGGGTGGGGCATTAGCATTAGGGCTTTAGGCACATGAAACAGCACATTCAAAAGCCCAGAAGAGGGCATATGATTGGTTCAGGGAACTCTACATGGTTCAGAAAAAGGTTGACCTGAAGGATCCAAAGGAGGGAGTGACTAGATACAAGGCTAGAGTGGCAAGCAAGGGCCTTGCCATGAGAAGTCTTATGTAAGGAGTTTGGGCTTCATGAGTTTCGAGTGCCACATCAGGCTTGCTGCTGTCAGCATGGAACCTGCTTCAGATCCTCTGTCCCCCTCTCTTTTTGCCCCTCCTCCGTTCATTCTCTCCCTCACTCTCTCAAAAAAAAAAAACAAAAAAAAAAACAAAAAACTTTAGCCAAAAACTTTACTGTAAGACAATCTACACAGTATTCAAATAACAAACACTTACTGAGTGCCATCTATATACCAATAAGCCTAATGAAACCTAGTCCCCCTGAGATAAGTGATGAGGAAGAGAAAAGCACAAGGTACTAGAGGAACACAGAAGAGGGAATTCTAAACCAGACTTGGGATGGTCAGAAAGACTTCTGAGAAATGGCTCTCAAAGTATGTTTAGAACAAGTGTTCTCAATCACAGCACTGTAGTCATCTGAGCTAGAAAGTTCCTTGTTGTAGCGGTCTGGCCTGCACTGAAGAGTGTTTAGCAGCATCCCTGGCCTCTACCCACCAAAAGTTAGTAGTAGTCCTCCAGTTGTGACACCGAACATGTCTTTACACTTTGACATATATCCTCTGGGGGACAAAACCACCCCTGGTTCAGAACCACTGGTTTAAAGAATGATGAGTTAGCATTGTGGAGCAGGGGATGGGACTTTTTTTTTTTTAATTTACATACAAATTAGTTAGCATATAGTGCAGCAATGATTTCAGGACTAGATTCCTTAGTGCCCCTTACCCATTTAGCCCATCCCTCTCCCACAACCCTGTGGGACTTCTAAGGTACATAAAATAGCATGGAGAAGCAAGAAGTCAGCTGAGAGTTTAGGCAGAGATGGGCTGGAAGATGAGTAGAGAGAGGTGGGCAGCAGCCAGCACTGAAGGCCCTGGGACACTACACTATACTTGAAATTAACCTGAAAGCTATGGAAGTACCTGAAGGATTTCTTTTGTTGACATACATTTATATATTTTTATTCTGACAACTTCAGACTTTCAGAAAAATTGCACAAATAGTAAAAAGATCCCATTTACCCTTCATCTAGATTCCCTGAATGTTAACACCCTACCATATTTTTTATAATCTCTCTATATAAATGTGAATAGATAAAAATTTTCTGAGCTACTGGAGAATAAATTATAAACTTGTTGCCTTTACCCCTAAATAACTTTACTGTGTATTTCCTAAAAATAAGAACATTCTCTTACATAATGATAGTAAAATTATAGAAATCAGGATATTAACATTGACATAATACTATTATTTACTAACCCCTTTCCAATTTTGCCACTTGTCCCAATAATCTCCTTTAGCAAAACAATATTCAAAGACTGTGTTTCACTGAATTGTGAAGCTTCTTTAAACTCTCTTAATCTGAAGAAGTTACTAACACTTTTGGGTCTTTCATTACCTTGGTATTTTAAGAATACAGGTCAGTTAAATGAGAAGGTCTCTCAGTGTGGGTTTGTCTGATGTTCCCTCATGATTAAATTCAGGTTTCATTTTGGACAAAAATGCCATGGAAGTAATACTGTGTTCTTAATACATCACATTAGAAGCATATATTGATTTGTATCATTCCAGGTGACACTAACTCTAATCCTTTAAGAAATTGACATGATCAGGGATTCCTGGGTGGCTCAGTCAATTAAGTGTCTGACTCTTCGTTTTGGCTCAGATCATGATCTCATGGTTCCTGGGTTTGAGCCCTCTATTGGGCTCTGTGCTGACAGTGCAGAGGCTGCTTCAGATTCTCCTCTCTCTCTCCCTCTGTCCCTCCCCCACTTGTGCTGTATCTCTCCCTCTCAAAATCAATAAATAAACTTAAAAAAAAAAAAGAAATTGACATGATCGGTTTTCTGTTTGTCAGATAATTCTGGCAGTAGTGTAGAAAAAGTAGGTGGTAGGGAAGATAAGAGTAAGAGAAAGACCTTTTTAGGAGGTTACTGTAAAAATTCAGAAAAATATAAAGGCTCAACTGGGTGGCTCAGTTGGTTACGCATTTGACTTAGGCTCAGGTCATGATCCCACAGCTTGTGGGTTCAAGTTCCGTGTCGGGCTCAGAGCTGACAGCTGGGAGCTTGGAGTCCACTTCGGATTCTCTGTCTCACTCTCTCTCTGACCCTTCCCCACTTGTGCTCTCCCTCTCTCTCAAAAATAGCTAAGTAAACATTTAAAAAAATAGTATAAAGGCTCAAATAAAGGCAATTAAGAGAAAGAATCTATATTCTTTCTTCTTTTAAAAGAAGAATGTATATGACTCCTTTGTTTCTGCCTTGGATAGTTAATGGTGAATTCTTACTTACCAAAATAAGAATTTAAATAAAAAGATCAGAATTAGGGAATAAAAACAATGATCCTAGTATTGGACATGTAGAGTTTGAGATTCCAAGTAGAAATCTTGAAGATGGTAGCTGACACCAGGGGTTTTGAGAGGCCACACAGGGAAAGTACACAGAATAAAAACAGAATATGAGGAAGGGTCTGAAGAATATAGAACCCTGGGGGGCACTGATTCTTTGCTTTATTTCTTACCTTCCTTTTTTCACAAGTAATACATGACTACATTCTCCATTTATTTATTTATTTATTTATTTATTTATTTATTTATTAAAAAAAATTTTTTTTTGTTTTAATGTTTACTTTTTGAGATAGAGAGAAACAGAGCACGAGCAGGGGAGGGGCAGAAAGAAAGAGACACAGAATCCAAAACAGGCTCAGCACAAAGCCCGACACGGGGCTTGAATTCACGAACCGTAAGACCATGACCTGAGCCAAAGTCAGACGCTCAACTAACTGAGCCACCCAGGAGCCCCAGTTTTTTTAATTTTTTAAAAAAACTTTTGTTTATTTTTGAGAGAGACACAGAGTGCCAAGTGGGGGAGGGGTAGAGAGAGAGGGAGACACAGAATCTGGAGCAGGCTCCAGGCTCTGAGCTGTCAGCACAGAGCCCAATGTGGGACTTGAACTCATGAACTGCAAACTCATGACCTGAGCTGAAGTCGGACGATCAACCGACTGAGCCACTGAGGCGCCCCTATTTTTTTTTTTATTTTTTAATGTTTATTTTATTTTGAGAGAGAGAGAGGGAGGAAGACACAGAATCCAAAATAGGCTCCAGGCTCCAAGCTGTCAGGACAGAGCCTGATGCGGGTCTCGAACTCACAAACCAGATCATATCCCGAGCCAAAGTCAGCTGACAGCTCAGAGCCTGGAGACTGCGTCCGTTCTGTGTCTCCCTCTCTCTCTCTGCTCTTCCCTTACTTGCATTCTGTCTCTCTCTAAATAAACATTAAAAAAAATTTTTTTTTTTTAATTCCAATCTACTAGTCCAAACATTGGTTACAATGTATTTGGCCATTTGTCTGGTTGCCATTTACATTTGTCTGGTTGCCATTTTTTACCCCTGAAACAAATCATGTTGCAATTAACACTTTGGTAACATGATTTTTTTTGAGCACAAGATCAAACCTCTCTCCTAAAACAGATTCCTAGAGGAAAAACTGCTGGGTTGAATGACATGACTATGATTTATTTTCCTAGATAATATACTCCCTATCATCTGGAAAGGCCTTTTCAGTTTATACTACCACCAATAGTGCATGAGAATACTTTAATAATGACATTTAAAAGGAAAGGGAAAAAAAAGAAGCCTACAAAAAAGAATTTTTTTTAAGTCTGAGACTGACCAGAGATAAGAGAAAATTCTGGCAAGAAGAGGCTCATAAAAGTCAAGGGAGTTGGAGGAAGGGGAATTTTGTTTAATGTGTACAGAGTTTCAGTTTTGCAAGATTAAAAAAAAGTTCTGGAGATGTTTCATAACAATGTGAGCATACTCAACATTCCTGAACCGTTATACTCAAAAACAGTTAAGATGGCAAATTTTACGTTATATGTTTTTTACCACAATAAAAAAAAAGTCAAGGAAGTGGAGTGCTTAGAGGAGGAAAGGAAGTGTCAAAAGCTGCAGTCAAGACTGATAATAAAAAAAAATCAGTATTTTCTCCTAAAGCTGTTCCCCAGGACATGGTGGCTCCTGTTACTCTGGAGGCACCCTTTGAACCATCACAGCCCCTAGTGACCGAGGGCTTTAGCCCCAGTGTCTGCAGCACTTTGGAAAGCTTCAGGGAAAAGTTCCTTTGCAAGACCCTCAAGAACCCAGTGATAACTGGACGGCTGTGCACGTCCGGACACCCTAACCTACAGCCTCTATTGCTTCCATCGGGGTTAGAGCCACCGTCCTCAGCTCA